ATTGTGGACCACTTCTTCTTTCCCCCCACTTTGCCCTTGCTCTCGTTCAGAGGATTTTTTTAACTTCTAGCAGGTATTCCCTTCTGGGCTTCTAGTACAGGCTCCCTGCTCCCACCTGAAGGACCATGCTGGGCACGTCTACATGAAACGCTGCACTTGAGTTTAAAACAAATTCCTGTACAATAAGTGTCACCATCTACACGTGCAGATGCTTACTGAGCAATAATTTGCTCTAATCCCAAGTAAATTTACTACCTGCAAATACAAGTCGCAAATTTACTTGAAAGTAATTAAAGACACAGCATGGCACATGTAGACAGCTGACTAGGAGCAAACATGCTCCTGGTCTACTAGGCAGCTCCGTCACTGCAACCCAGGGAGGGACAATGTCCCCCTGCCCTGGCACCAGGGATCTCCCAGCTCTTGGTCTGTGATCGCAATAACAGAGTGGGGCTTGGGAGATTCTTACCTCCTTGCCCCAACTCCGCAATTGCCTGAGCTCCAGTGGTGGAGCCTGCCACGGCAGCATGCAGCTCCTGGGGGCAGGGGCCAGGAGACAGCTGTCTCCTAGCTCAGGAGACCCTTTGTTCCCTGCCAACCCCTAGGTTAGCGCCCACCTAGAAATCCCCCTGACTGCTGCAGGGGAGCGGTGCAGGGCCAGTGGGGGTGTGAGCAGACTGCTGGTGTTACTGTACAGTAGTGTCCAGTAGTACAGTAGTAATGAGCTACTGCAAAGTAAGCATCTTGTGTAGACATGGCCACAGAGAAGTGTGACACAGGGCTGCCAATTTTTTTCTTTTGATTAGTTTTTAGCTGATCTAGTTTTAGCTTGAAGACATTCTGGAAGGGCTTGGAAGCATTTTCTTTTCCTTCCACTTTCCTTTCCCTTCACTAGCTACACAGTGTTGCATTTTCTGTCTCTCTATGGTGAAGATAATCTAGATTTCCATGTAACGAAATGTAGCAATTACAGTCATTAGTGTCATCACTTTCCATTCACACGTGAACATTATGGCTAGGCACTCTACAGCATTTATAACAGAATCGCAGAGAGGTAGGAGTGGAAGGGACCTCTAGAGGTCATTTAGTCTAATCCCCTGCCTGACACAGGGTCATCCCTATCCAAACCATCTCATACAACCATAATCTAAACTCTACATAGAACTACTGTAAACTCTACATAAGACTACAGTAGTAAAACATACTGTTTCTTGTACCTGAGCTTGGGAATTTCTATGACTGTAAATATCAAAGCAAAATTTTGGCAATGCAGAGAGCAGAGAGAACATCATTACTAATGATAGGAAGCAAACCCAGAGGAAAAGTATGACTGAACTCCTTGAAATAAAGAATACATATATTTTACAGTGCTTCTATGGTCTTTGCACTTGGTTAGTACAGGACAGCCTTTTAAACACCGGTGTGAGAGAATCCTACTTTCAGCTGAAAATGGTTGGCTGTTCACTTGCTGACTTTAAGTGCAGATTGTGTATCTCTTCAAAAAATGTACAATGTTTGCCTTGGATTTCCACTATGCGCACACTTTCTGTGGATGCAAAAGGAGGCAGACAAAGATGTGTAATCCATCACAGATATACATGCATGTAACCCATAGGGATGGTATACGTTCTAGGTTCTGTTCTGTGTCCAGTTAATAACTGCGTTAGAAAACTAACTCTTCAGCTCAAGCTGTAGAGGTTTGTGCTTTTAGCTGTGGGTGGCACTGCAGGCCCTGCACATCAGCCAAGATGGTGATTTCATCTACCATCTTGACTTTCATCCACATGCGTGTGTGTGTGTGTGTGTGTGTGTGTGTGTGTGTTACATTTGAATATGTAAGGATAAGGACATTTCCATTGTATTTGTACGCTGCAGATGTTATATTGGTTTTAGTTTGCAGACAGAAAATGCAACAGAGTGTTCAGAAATTACTCTTTTCCCTGTGGGACCTTTTCCCCGGGGTGGGGGGAGAAACACAACATATTCCTGGGTAACTCTTTAGTGTGTAGGCCCTATGTTAAAAGACTATTAAAATATATATTTAATAATCTCACAGTAAGTTAAAAATAATCCATTTTCTGAGTAATCAGAAATGTCTCTATGCACTGTTTTGACATTGACATTATTCAGCGTCCATACATAAGAATGAAATCTAGCAAATGATTACATGAAATAACACAGGTGCCTTTAGCTTATATTATAGTCTAATTCTACTTCATTTGTATCTGGATTTCAAACCTTTCTGATCTGAGAATTGGTTATTATAAAGCGGGGTGTACTGGCATTGGTGTTTGGATCCCAGTTGGATTCTGACTTTACGCAAAAGTCCAACAATGTGTGAATCCAAATGGCAGTCTGATTCGGGTCTCCCTCTCTCCACTTTCAGCAGTAAGTGGCTATTGATATTATTACAGTTTGAAAAATGGTTCCTAGAGTGCATTTTAAATTTGCATAGCACAGCATATGCCATAAGCACTTCCTTATGTGAAGGGACCTGGATGGGCCTGGAGTAGCTGTTGATTTTTATTAAGTAAACAAGTCACCATACACAGACACACAGTGTCTGTATAAACAGGCATTTTTAAGTAATAAGAGTCAAACTCCCTTTGGTGTGTATAATACATGCTTAATCCTTTCAGTCAATACAAAGTGTTCTGAGGGTATGTAAATGAAAATATACATATTTAAAAAGCGTGAAGTTGTTGAGGTGTTGAAGCATACAGCCAAAACGAAACAGGGAAGCCACAATTCAGACAGCATTCAGGGTTTATTCCATCCATAGAGCAAGTTGTGCCCAGGGAGACTAGAGAAGAGAGAGGGAGAAAATACTGTCTCCCCCTCATCCAAAAGCACAGACAGCTTAAGACACAATGGCAATGCTAAATTTATACTGAATGCATTGAGTGATGCCGAGCTCATTTCAATACTGCCCAAACATGAGTGGTTTTAGGAGGTGCAGTGAGAGAGGGAAGAAGCAGAATAACAAAAGCAAGAGCAGCAAATCAGACTGCTGGAGCACTGTGGTCTTGTCCAGTGTAAAGGCTGCAGAGCCAGCTCCCATAGATTTCCCCAACACAGCTTGGTTGCCCTGGGCAGCACGCTGTGTGTGATTCTTCCCCTTCGCAGCACTATTTTCCTTATCCCGACCCCACTAATAATATGAGAATGGTTAACTCTTGATATTGATTTAAGCACATGGATCCAAACTCTCAGCTGATGTAGTTCAGCAGAGCTCTGTTGAGTTTAATGCAGCTCTGAATCTCACCAAGCATCTGTCCTAACAGCAGCCACAAATTATCCCTTCATAAAAAAATGGATTACTTCAAGCTGCTCTCTCAGGATGAGGAAGAGATCGTGTCATGGTTGAGCACCCAAGTCTGAGATGCTTCCATGTTATGGATAGGGCACATCAGAGCTATAATTGCTTTACTTTGGTACAAAGAAGCAGTTGAAAAATAATAGCTCTGGTAGAAATGACCAGTGAAAATTGATTTCCCTAAACTGGGGCATATATGGATTAGAACTAGCCTGAGGTATCAGAGGCATTGCTATCAAGGGGGAGGCAGCAAGATTAGCACTGAACAAAAGGACAGCTCTGTTGGAACTGCCAATTACTAGTAATGTATGGGATGGGTTTCTTAGCTTAATTGGGAAATATTTTTAAAAGGCTGCAGAGATCATGCAAGTGAGTTGTGAACTCTGTATTCCTTTAAACAAATTACTGGGAAGGAATCCTCAGGGAGATGGGAAAAGGCTATAAGAAACACTTGATAGATGTCTTCTGTGCACCAGAGCCTTGTTAAAACAGTCTGCTGTTTTTGTTCAGGGTTTATTACGCTGCATATAAATTTTAAAACTGCTGATGCAGGAATCCTTATAGGCTTTAAGGGGGGGGTGGGGAAATCTTTGTACAGTGCTTAGCCACTCTCTGGGTTTCTACAGGTGCGTTACATACTTCATCCTTTTATTTTTATGTGTGTGAGGGGGAAGTGGGTAAAGTGGCTATTAAAAGTTGCATTTAAAGGAGATTGCAGTGCATCGGTTATGGATTGTTGATGTAACATTAAATCCTGCTGGATAGGAAATACTGGTCATTTAGCTTGTGTTGCTGATCATAAGCAGCTTTGCTGGGTATGCCATTGTTTAGGGTTAGTCCTCAAGAGAAAGTTCTTTGCCTCAGTTCGACCCTGTTTTACTGTACCATTTTGAAGACATTCATCCCAGCTCATGAGTTGCTGATCCTATTTTTCTTCCCCAGTGCTGTCCATGTCCATTGCTAGAGCCTACAAGGGACAGTATTTGGGTTTTGTTCCTCAGGAAGACTTAAGTGTACCCCTTCCCACAGAGCAACAATAAAGCCCTCCAGAGTTTTCAGAAGGCTCTTGCCTTATCACACTTCCCTCCAGGAAGCAGGACTGGCCACATTCTGCTATGTCCATGAGCTTTGTGGGAATTACAGAGCAGTCTTATGGCTTTTCTCACTGTGCCATCTCCCCAAACCCCTTTATATCACACTGTCATTGGCTTGGCTTGTGCCATGTAGACAGCCAAGACCTTGGTGGAAGAGAAATTAATTATAGCTGGAGACAGCAGTAAGTCACAATACTTCTCATACCATAAACTGCAGCGCTCACAAAGGGAAACTAAATGTAACGAGCCATGCTGCAGTGTGTGCCCAGCCCCTTCTGCTGAGTTCAGTTGCAGTAGAAGTGGAAGAGGCACTGATGTGATGTGAGTGTGGTAGTGGTTGGATACTAACGTAGTTCCTCTCTGGGCAGCTCCCAAACCTTCATGGCTGCTCTCTTCCTCACCCAGAGTAGTGAGAATGAACCTCCCAAACATCACAGGGAGTAAGGTTCATCCAAATGGTGAGACACTACTTGGCTCCAAGTGCCTCATCTTGGTGCTATAAATCATTGAGGAATGTTACTCTCATAATAAAATTGTCCCAATAACTGTTGATTGGTTTTGTTTTGTTTTGTTTTTGTCTCCCTTTGCAGAGTGATGAGGTTTTAACTGTCATCAAGGCGAAAGCACAGTGGCCTGCCTGGCAACCAGTAAACATGTAAGTAGGTAGGGAATGAAGCCTCCCAAAAGAGTTCTGTTCAATATCGTCTGACAGGTATTCCAAACTTATTGCCTCACACAATGGTTTGCTGTTGTGAAGAAACAATATAAAAATATTGTTGATAGATGAGTTTGTCTTGTGCTTGGAATTTTGCCAATAATTGCAACTCTCTCTTTTATTATTGGCGTACTTTGGGATTGCTGTTTCAGGCAAAAGAAAGAGCAGATCATTTTGCTGATGTTGTGTCTGTATCAAACTATGACATTTATAAAATGTATGCATGTTTTCCTATTCAGTACACAGTATCTTTATAATCTGTTTTGACCAGTTCATTCATTGTCTCATCCTCTTTGGTGGGGGGACGGACCCTAAAAAGTACAAAACATATCTTATGGAAAGTTAATTTCTCAGACATCAAACCCTAGGTTCAGATATGGTAAACTGCCATAGCGACACTGACTTCAGTAGAGCTATAATAATTACCTGAGCTGAGAACATGGCTCACCATCATCATCCCAGGATGCTTATTGCTCTTGGGTTCCCAACACAAAACGAGGCAGAGCTCCCATAGGTGAATGCTTCTGAATCTCAGATCTTCTAGTCCTCCTTCACACTTGACCTGTTGTTGCCTCTGTGTTATTAATATTACTGCTCTAGGAAAATATAAAGCTATGATTGGTAAAATTTGTACAGTATGTAATTTAAAAATTGGTGAAGGTGTAAATTCATAGTGGAAACAGGCCAGTTATAGAGTGGCCTTAATCATTAGATAAGGTGACAACATTTCTCTATACAGCTTCCCTGCCCAGGACGGCTGCTGTGGAAAATAAACTCTGCCTGCTTTCTTGGCTCTGCATTCACCCTAGTCTCATTGCTGCTCTTAGGGTTTCCCAGGGCAGAAAGCCTGAGAGCAGCAAAACAGTAAGGGCTCAGGACCAGAGAAGCCATCTACCCTGCCTAATTGCTAGGCTAGGACATGTGCAGAATGCAAGGAAATGCATGAAACTTATTTTCTCACTGGAGGTTGGGCTTCAGCAACAGGGTTTTTTAAAATACAGCCTTTGCAAAGCCATCTAGGAATAAAGAAAGTAGGTGGCATTTACTAGATAAGGCAGTACATTCTGTCCTACTAATAAAGAACCCCTGTTAAACATGAGCACCTACTTTGCCATTATGGCTTAGACTGGGTGAGTGCAGTCTTTGCATCAGGCAGAGGTGGCATGACCTCTGTCCACAGCATTAGTATGGTGGCTTACTGGAGTGCCCAGTTTTAGCATCCACAATTCAAAAAAGATATTGACTACAGGGATGGCAGCCAGAAAAAAAGCTAAGAATCAAGTTCTGGAAAACATTGATTTTTTTTGTAAAAGACTGAAGAAGCTTAAAACTTAAGAAGCCAGTTAGTTTATCCAAGGAAAAATTAAGAAGTAACTTGATCAGAAAAGTTTTTTGATAGCTGCAATCTGATGGCTCCTTAATCAAGCAGATAATGGCATAAGAAGACCTAGTGGTAGGGGGCTAAAGCTCGAGAAATGCAGACTAGAAATGAAGAGAAGCATTTAAGAGTGGGAGTGTTTAGCCCTTTGGACAGTTTAGCTAGAGCTATGATGAATTTTTTTCTCACCTGAAGTCCTTGGATATGTTTCTTTAAAAGATTCTGAAAGCAAAATAAAAAATTATAGGTCTGTGGCAGGATTTCTGGGTGAGGTTCAGCAATTGTCTGTGGGATACAGGAGTTCAGAGTAGATTATTATAATTGTCCTTTCTGGCCTTAAAATCCATATGTCTGTAGTCTTGCACAGCTAATTGCTGCCTTGAGTCCTTAGAACCTTTTGGCATGTTCCTCCGTTGCTGTATTCAGATAATGAGCTCCCCACAGAAACTGTCTCCAGCTTTACTCTGCTCAACATCTGTTAGTTTGGGGGACCCATTACTGAGCTTACCTATAGTAAGTTTCAATACATTTTTGTTGGCGTTGACCTGCTTGTTCTTTTGCATACCAAGTTGGTATTCTTTAAATAAGGAAAATCATTACACTGCCTGGCTCTGATCCGGTAGAGCCTGTTTGGCTCAGGGGAACCATTTGTTTTTGCCTATAACCTTAAAAAAAAAAAAAAAAAAAAAGGAACAAAGAAAACAGCAGTGATGGTGCTTTTGCCTTAAAGTGATCAATGTTGCAAGGGTTTGTCTCTGCAGTCAGCCACTCCACAGTTATCACACACATTATATGGTGGTGGTTGTTGGAGAAGCACGTAGTATTATTCATTTCTTTGACTGTATTGGGGATAAATAGAGGATTTCCATCTCCAGAGCTGTCAATCCATCATCTTTCAAAAGCACTAAATTCATACACAAAAATCAAAGCTAATTAAACTATAGTGCCCCTGGCTATATCAGCTAGAGGGAATGCAGAAGTGACAGCTTCACAAAGGAGTTAACAAAAGACTCTTTAGATGTTTTTATTGGAGCACCATTTCAAACATTTTTGAGGCACATTCTCACAGAGCTAAGTATGACAATGTTTCTCAACAACCCTCCAGATGTTCTTGTAGCCACATCTTTTCTTTTCCATATGTCAATTGTTGTCACCCTTCAATAACATCCATGGAAAAATTCCAGATATCCAGATATTCCTACTGTATTGTAAAATGTCACCCAAAAGTTTTCTTCCCCAACAGCTCTTGTTATGTTTCCTTCTTTTACTTGGTGGTTTGTTTTTTTAAAACCATTTTCATTATGTTTCTCATATATAGTTGTGGTACCCCTCTTTTAATTCCATTTTAAAGTCTGCTTCCATCTCCAAAGAAAATAACCTTCTCAATTAGCACATATTTCTCTTGTTAGATTTTCTGTTTAACATTATTGATTATCTCTGTTGGAATATAAATTATGATTGTACAAGAATTAAAGCTGTTACATCAGACAAACACTTAGACAATTATTATGCACAACAAAGCAAACTTATTCTGGCAAGCATGTGTTGCTAATTCTCTACCGGGTAAAGGGCATGGATAATTTTCTCTTGAGTAATCATGAATGTTATGGCTTTTCTTGGTCTAGTGTTAAGCCGATATGTCAAAACATCACATCATGTAATGTTAAGCCATGTTGCAGTATATCGCTCTATTGTGGCAAAGGAGTTTACTGTATATTAAACACTATTATCAGATACATAACATTAAGAAAATAACTGCAGAAGGTGAAAGAAAAAGTTTCACAGGTTAGCAAAGGAAATCAGTCTGGTCAAGTTTCAGAGTTTGAAATGAATACTAACTGGGATCAGGAAGCAGTTACCCATCCAAGTTATTATATTATGTTAGTTACACTTAAAATATCAATATTTAACAGCACTTAAACTTATTGATATAATTACTTTCCTACACTGATTTCAAAGTTTTGACAGCTGTAATTATATTAATACATCTTTGCCTGTTGTGATGGAGAATTGGTGATTAGCTGCTACCAGAATCAGAATGCCATACTAGATGGGCTGTTTATCTTGTCACTTTAATTAAAAAAACTGCGACAAAGAGTAGCGATCTGATTATTAACTGAGTTGAAAAATGAACCTGATTGGCTAACAAGTGTTTGGGCATAATGTGACTTGGGACCAAAAAGGCCTGCAGACTCAAAACTTGCCAGCTGCATCAAGCAGATGTCAGATCTATGCATCTCAGGCAAAACTTCTGAGCATAAGGGCCAGAACAGAAGACAGACCTAGATCATGGTATTCTAGGTATCCTGGCATAACATGGCTCTTGGTTCCCTTATGGCCATGCCCCCCCACAAAGTGTACTGATAGCAGGGTCTGGCATTTTCTCTTGTAGGTGTGGGTAGGGGGATGGGGGTAGGGTAGGTTCTTGGACTCCTTTCCCCCTCAGTCTGGCCTCCCAGGGGAACTGATGTGCAGGATACCCTTGGAGCCCAGGAGAGCTGGTTGTATTTTAAAGAACCCTTACTAAGGGTGCAGGAACAAACCATCCTGATGCATAGGAAGACTAGCAAAGATAGCAGAAGACCAGCTTGGCCTTATTAGGGAATTCTTCAATGAGCTAAAACACAGAAAGGAAGCTTACAGGAAGTGGAAACTTGGACAAAGTACTAGGGAGGAATATAAGTATTGTTTGCATGCAGGGATGAAAACAGGAAGGCCAAAGAACAATTGGAGTTACAGCTAGCAAAGGACATGAATGGTAACAAGAAGGCTTTCTGCAAGTATTTCAGTAACAGGTGACAGATCTGGGAAAATGTGGGTCCCTTACTGAATGGAGGAGGCAACCTAATGACAGATGATGGACAAAAAGCTGAAGTATTTAATGTCTTTTTTTACCTCAGTCTTCACAGGCAAGGTCAGCTACAGACTACTGAACCCAGCAGCACAGTTTGGGGAGGAGTTGAGCAGCCAATAGTGGTGAAAACAGGTTAGGGATTATTTAGAAAAGGTGGATGTGTACAAGGCCATGGGCCCCGACATGATGCCTCTGAGGGTGCTGAGGGAGTTTAGCCAATGTGATTGCAGAGCCACTGGCCATCATCTTTGAAAACTCATGGCAATTGGGAGAGGTTCCAGATGACTAGAAAAGGACAAATATAGTGCCCCTCTTTAAGAAAGAGGAGGAGGAGGATCCAGGGAACTGAAGACTGTTCAGCCTAACCTCAGTCCCTGAAAAAATCATGAAGCAGGTCCTCAAGGACTCCATTTCTAAGGAGGAGAAGAATGTGATTACAATCAGCCTGGATTCACCAAGGGCAAGTCATGCCTAACCAACCCGATTGCTTTCTACAACTAGATCGCTGGCTGTGTGGATGCAGGGAAAGCCGTGAACATAATATACCTTGACTTTAGCGAGGCTTTTGATATGGTCTCCCACAACATTCTCACAAACAAGCTAAAGAAGTACAGATTGGATGAATGGACTGTAAGGTGGATAGAAAACTGGTTGGAAGGGGAGTCAGGCACAAAGGGTAATCATCAATAGCTAAGCATGTAGTTAGCA